CTAGAAATCTGTATACGTCAATTGCTGCTGTGTGTGCGATAGAGATATCAATTGCCGGACATTGACTGAACGAAGAGTGAGAGGAGGATAACGGCTGCCAGTGTGCTCTGCTTTTCTCTTATTTATTCGCATGTTATTTTTAGGTTAAGCATAGACATAATGAAGGCGTTAATTTAGCTAATGCCAGCGCAGCTTGGCTTTTTATAAGCTGCCAGCATAATATCGACTACATATATATGTATAGATCAAACAAATAAAAACAAATTGGAAAAAAAACATGTGTAAGTAAAAAATAAAAAAATTTCATTTCTGTGACGCTAATTTTAATGGTCTCTAAACTGCCAGCTAAAGTCTTTTATATTACGAAGCAAATGGAATCCACGGTGATACCGTCATGCAACTCAATAATATCGAATGGAAGCGTTTTTAAAGTCATGGCCTATACACGCTGTGGCAGGGAACCGGTCCGCACCACAATTACCGTTAAGGAGTTGATTGGCAAGGGCACCTTCGGCCGCGTCTACAAGGCGCATCTCGACAAATCGGAGCGTCTGGTGGCTCTAAAGCAAGTCGACTTCGATCCCCACCTGATGGAACGAGAGCCGGAAATAATGAATTACCTGGAGGGGCACTGCAATATAGTACGCCTGATCATGTACTGCTATGCCCAGATAAACTGCTCCAAGCAAAACTATCTGCTCATGGCCATGGAGTACATGCCAATGACGCTCGCCGAGCTCATAATCAAGCATCGCCAGCGACCCCTGCAGATGATCTACGTGCGCATTATCTCCTATCAACTGTTCCGGGGCCTCGGTTATTTGCACTCGCACTGCATCTGCCATCGGGACATTAAGCCGGAGAATATGCTGATCGATCCGCTTACAATGAGCCTCAAATTGGCCGACTTTGGCAGCGCCAAGTTCCTGGACATCAACGAGTCGAGTGCCACGTACGTCTGCTCGCGGTTCTATCGGGCGCCCGAACTCTATGCCGGATGCCAGCGTTATAGCACCACGGTGGACGTCTGGAGCGCCGGCTGTGTGCTCGCCGAGCTGCTCAAGAGCTTCGCGCTCTTCGCCAGCAACATGCACGACGAGGCCCAGCTGCTGCACATGATTAGTGTCCTGGGCACCGACGGCTTGGAGCGTGCGCCTCATATCCTGGCAGCCAGTGGCCTGGACACCGCCACTACAATCATCCCGCGACCCAGTTGGCAAATGCTAATTGGCGTCTGGGTGCCACAGGATTTGGCAGCACTACTCGATGCTTGCCTGCAGTATGATCCCACAGCTCGCATCGCCCCGCTGCGAGCCTGTGCCCACGCCAGCTATGACGAGCTGCGCACCATGGATCCCCTCAACACCCACATGCCCAACGGAATGCGGCCGCCATCCCTATTCAACTTCAGCCAGCATGAGCTGCAGGTTGATCCCGGCCTCTGGATGCATCTATTACCTCTCCAACTTGCGGAAGTCATCGAGCAGTAGCGACTCAAGTGCAACACTAGATTTTAAGTTCATGTAGTTTATAGTCGCTCAAGGCTGTATTAGTTATATACATAGCTTTTTAAATACTAAACATGAGGTGAGTATCGAAAAAAGCAGCTCTACCTATGCACCTGATTAAATCTAACATAAATGCGGGTCATTTTAGGAGCAACTCCTGCACTATCCTTAATATCTATTAAACTATTTGTAAAGAACATTAATTTTAAGCTATTTTGCTTAAGTGTCAATTCAAATATTTATATTTATATTTATATTTATGCACATGATTTATGATTTATTTATTATCTTATATTATTCTATGTAATTTATAAAAAAATCAACTTTTCCGATTTATTCAACGCCAATTGTAATACTATTAGTTTCAATTATATATGTTTGTAATATTCTATTCTTACTCTGTACAGAAATCATTTTGCATTACTATCGACCTCGGCAGCCACAGGGGTTTTGCTAGGTCTTTCTCTATAGCGTTCGTCCGACTCTATATTTCCCACGTAGCTTGAGACTGATATGACTCGTTTATAGATGCTATAGCCCTTTGCTGACCGACCTTGTCAGGTCTTACCCTTAGTCTCTTTTGTCTCTTAGTCTTTCAAACACGCATTTCCAGCTATATTTCCTATCTATTTACTTTTATTTCTCCGTATTTTTTCACTTTAGCTAATAGGAATTTTTACTGCAGTTTAGTTTTCTCTTTTCGCAAAACCCTTCAATTTCACATCTGTAGCAATATTTCTTATAGCCCACAGACACACACACATTGTGTCCTGTCTTTTGCTGTCACTTTGAGGCTAATTTTCTTTACTTTTTTTTTTATTTATTTATTTTTTTTGTGCTCACGCACTCTGCTCTTTTGCTTGCCTAGCTTAGCTCTGCCACTGTTTCAGTCTCTTGATTTTGCCTTTTTTCTGTTTTATTTACAGAACTCAGTTGATGCCAGTCCAGATTTAGTAATATATTTACATATATACAGAGTCGTATATGAAATTTGTAGTTGATGTTGGTTAAGCCCATGAATTTGACAGGCTTTCCGATAGCACGCATGGGACTCGAGGAACCGCTTTGAATTTCGAGACCCAGTAGCCTTTGCGTAATAGAAAAAGTCGACCATCCGTTTGACGGTCTGAAAAGTGGTTTAGTTCAATCTGTTCTGTTCAATCAACTTCAAATTTATTCCATAAATCGAAATATTAATATTAATATTAATATTGCTTTCATATTGATTTAAAATTACGTATCGAATCTCATTTAAAGGTTCTGAGAACAAGCCCATTTTTTACTAGAGCCCAACACGCCTTAATTTTTCATTTGCTTCGCTAATTAACTATAATTAAGTCAATTTTCTGCTTAAATCAAAACAATTTGTGCTTAAAAATAGATTTAGTTAATTAATTATTTATGATATTTTAATTAGTATAATCAATATGGTCTTAGAGAACTTATTTTGACGCGACTCCGCCTTAAAGCCTCACCCTCCTACATTGAGAACTTCAGAATATTTGGTATCCATATTTTAAGTACTCTAAATTATCATTTAGAAAATTTTATTAAACTTCATATTTATTTCTTATTATTTTAAGCAAATTTTGAAGAAGATTCAATAAAAATAGATGAAGATTGAAATTTACGAGTACTTTCCGTTCAGAACGTATATTCCATAGGATCGATTGTGCCTAATTATGCCGGTTATCCCATTTTCATCGCCTGCCTAATAAACTTAATGTTAAATATGTTTAAATTTAATATTACCTAGTCCTATACACCTAACATACCTATAAATCTAGGTTCCATTAACTTCTAAAAATTGTCCACTTTCGAATTTGTAATGCAGAGCAGGCTTAAAAAAGTGAAATGGAATTTGAAGAGCGGAAGACTGAATGGTCTGTGTGTGTGTGTGTGTGGCGCAAGAGCAGACACAAAAAATATTCAGTCCATACGGATATCCTGAATATCTGTCCATAGCTATGCTACTTGCCACTTTGCTCTGACAGTCATTTCCGTTTTGAGGGTTTTGCTCTGCTCTCAATGAACTTTTAGCCATTTTGTTTGTGTGTGTGCGAGTGCTCGGGCTTGTGGGACCTGTTGCACCGGCTGCGATTTATATCATCGTAAAAGCTGCCATTTGAATTTGGGAATTTAATTTTAATGCCGAGTGTGGTGGGTGGCTCGGCGGATGCTTAATAAAAGGGCTCTGATAACTGAACTGAAACTGACGCAAAGCCGTGCAGTAAACGGCCCAATATATATGTATATGTATTTAATATATATTTGTGTGCCTGTGTGTGTGTGTGAATGCCACAATGCCCAGCCGCATCCACATCGTCAACGATGGCATCGCACACGCGTCGCCCATTAGGCGAGCCTGTCATTTGCTCGTCTAACGGAAGTTGTCTGTGTTAATGGAATTACATGAATTTCAACTCTGAACCGCAGAGCAGGATGGCAAGCGACATTTCCCGTTGAAGTGTTGCCTACTTCGGCTGCTGCTGCTATTGCTGTTGCTGCTGCTGCTGTTGCTGCTACGGCCCATAAACATTGGTGGCGAAAGTTTGCTTTTTCTTTCCATCAGCACAGCCGGAAATGGAAATAGCGAGGGACGCAAACAAACAAACAAACACTAGCGATTCGCTGAGGTCTTAACATATTAAAGTCTTATGCTTAATACAAACTAAATGCTTTTCAGCTGCCAAACTAAGAGAACGATAGCATGAACTGCAATTCCACTAGATATACAATCGAATTGATTCTATTGCTTGACTTAAATTGAATGATAAGCTCCTCCTCAATTCAATTTCATTTACAGTGCAAACGGCAATGGAAGCTTACGTTTGAATACGTTTTTCACCACTTAACCGTTTGGCGAAAACGCACAGTGCGTGGTGAATTACAACGCAATGCTTGCAAATGCATAACTTTGTGGCAACGCCAACTTTAGGTGGCAGCACTGCCCTATAAGCATGCGTGGCGCTGAAAACAACGCGGTTCTTTTTTTAAATATTAACCCAAATATGAAAACAAATTGCTTAAAACGTAAATAGTAAATAAATAAATAACACTAGAAATCTGTATACGTCAATTGCTGCTGTGTGTGCGATAGAGATATCAATTGCCGGACATTGACTGAACGAAGAGTGAGAGGAGGATAACGGCTGCCAGTGTGCTCTGCTTTTCTCTTATTTATTCGCATGTTATTTTTAGGTTAAGCATAGACATAATGAAGGCGTTAATTTAGCTAATGCCAGCGCAGCTTGGCTTTTTATAAGCTGCCAGCATAATATCGACTACATATATATGTATAGATCAAACAAATAAAAACAAATTGGAAAAAAAACATGTGTAAGTAAAAAATAAAAAAATTTCATTTCTGTGACGCTAATTTTAATGGTCTCTAAACTGCCAGCTAAAGTCTTTTATATTACGAAGCAAATGGAATCCACGGTGATACCGTCATGCAACTCAATAATATCGAATGGAAGCGTTTTTAAAGTCATGGCCTATACACGCTGTGGCAGGGAACCGGTCCGCACCACAATTACCGTTAAGGAGTTGATTGGCAAGGGCACCTTCGGCCGCGTCTACAAGGCGCATCTCGACAAATCGGAGCGTCTGGTGGCTCTAAAGCAAGTCGACTTCGATCCCCACCTGATGGAACGAGAGCCGGAAATAATGAATTACCTGGAGGGGCACTGCAATATAGTACGCCTGATCATGTACTGCTATGCCCAGATAAACTGCTCCAAGCAAAACTATCTGCTCATGGCCATGGAGTACATGCCAATGACGCTCGCCGAGCTCATAATCAAGCATCGCCAGCGACCCCTGCAGATGATCTACGTGCGCATTATCTCCTATCAACTGTTCCGGGGCCTCGGTTATTTGCACTCGCACTGCATCTGCCATCGGGACATTAAGCCGGAGAATATGCTGATCGATCCGCTTACAATGAGCCTCAAATTGGCCGACTTTGGCAGCGCCAAGTTCCTGGACATCAACGAGTCGAGTGCCACGTACGTCTGCTCGCGGTTCTATCGGGCGCCCGAACTCTATGCCGGATGCCAGCGTTATAGCACCACGGTGGACGTCTGGAGCGCCGGCTGTGTGCTCGCCGAGCTGCTCAAGAGCTTCGCGCTCTTCGCCAGCAACATGCACGACGAGGCCCAGCTGCTGCACATGATTAGTGTCCTGGGCACCGACGGCTTGGAGCGTGCGCCTCATATCCTGGCAGCCAGTGGCCTGGACACCGCCACTACAATCATCCCGCGACCCAGTTGGCAAATGCTAATTGGCGTCTGGGTGCCACAGGATTTGGCAGCACTACTCGATGCTTGCCTGCAGTATGATCCCACAGCTCGCATCGCCCCGCTGCGAGCCTGTGCCCACGCCAGCTATGACGAGCTGCGCACCATGGATCCCCTCAACACCCACATGCCCAACGGAATGCGGCCGCCATCCCTATTCAACTTCAGCCAGCATGAGCTGCAGGTTGATCCCGGCCTCTGGATGCATCTATTACCTCTCCAACTTGCGGAAGTCATCGAGCAGTAGCGACTCAAGTGCAACACTAGATTTTAAGTTCATGTAGTTTATAGTCGCTCAAGGCTGTATTAGTTATATACATAGCTTTTTAAATACTAAACATGAGGTGAGTATCGAAAAAAAGCAGCTCTACCTATGCACCTGATTAAATCTAACATAAATGCGGGTCATTTTAGGAGCAACTCCTGCACTATCCTTAATATCTATTAAACTATTTGTAAAGAACATTAATTTTAAGCTATTTTGCTTAAGTGTCAATTCAAATATTTATATTTATATTTATATTTATGCACATGATTTATGATTTATTTATTATCTTATATTATTCTATGTAATTTATAAAAAAATCAACTTTTCCGATTTATTCAACGCCAATTGTAATACTATTAGTTTCAATTATATATGTTTGTAATATTCTATTCTTACTCTGTACAGAAATCATTTTGCATTACTATCGACCTCGGCAGCCACAGGGTTTTGCTAGGTCTTTCTCTATAGCGTTCGTCCGACTCTATATTTCCCACGTAGCTTGAGACTGATATGACTCGTTTATAGATGCTATAGCCCTTTGCTGACCGACCTTGTCAGGTCTTACCCTTAGTCTCTTTTGTCTCTTAGTCTTTCAAACACGCATTTCCAGCTATATTTCCTATCTATTTACTTTTATTTCTCCGTATTTTTTCACTTTAGCTAATAGGAATTTTTACTGCAGTTTAGTTTTCTCTTTTCGCAAAACCCTTCAATTTCACATCTGTAGCAATATTTCTTATAGCCCACAGACACACACACATTGTGTCCTGTCTTTTGCTGTCACTTTGAGGCTAATTTTCTTTACTTTTTTTTTTATTTATTTATTTTTTTTGTGCTCACGCACTCTGCTCTTTTGCTTGCCTAGCTTAGCTCTGCCACTGTTTCAGTCTCTTGATTTTGCCTTTTTTCTGTTTTATTTACAGAACTCAGTTGATGCCAGTCCAGATTTAGTAATATATTTACATATATACAGAGTCGTATATGAAATTTGTAGTTGATGTTGGTTAAGCCCATGAATTTGACAGGCTTTCCGATAGCACGCATGGGACTCGAGGAACCGCTTTGAATTTCGAGACCCAGTAGCCTTTGCGTAATAGAAAAAGTCGACCATCCGTTTGACGGTCTGAAAAGTGGTTTAGTTCAATCTGTTCTGTCGTAGTGTGAACATCGCCAAAAAAAACCAAAAACTTAAAGTCTAAGGAAAAGCAATTGAAGGAAAAACAATAGAAAAATCTTGTGGAAAAATCGTGCAATCTGAAAAGTGAAAAACTGAAGGCAAAACTTAAACATGGAATTGCCGTCGATGGTGGAGCGTTCGGGTGGCCGTTTGGTGGTGCGCAGCCTGGTGAGTGGTGCCACAGTCTTTCAGACAGCAATGGAGGAGAGTGACGCAGCAGCGGCAGAGAGTGCCAATCCGATGGCCACGCATCCCTTGGTCAGCGCCGAGATGCTCGAGCGCCAGCTGCAGTTGCTCAACAATCAGACAGCAACTGCTCAGCCGCAGCCGCCGATGGTGCCGTCGGCCATGTCCAAGGCGGAGCAGGAGGACGGCTGCAAGGAATCGCTGACCATGCTGGAGTCGCGGGCCGAGGAGGAGCTGCCGCAGTGCAAGATCCGGCGAAACTACAGCTGCAATGCGTGCGCCTTCTTCACGCAGAATCCGCGCAGCCATTTGTCGCACCTGCGCGACGTGCACGGCGAGAAGATCGTGATAAACGAGTGCAAGCTCTGTCTGTATGCCTCGCGCCACTTCCAGAAGCTGGTGCGTCACATGAAGATGGTACACGGCTGCTCGGACGATGACAGCAACGGCTTGGCCGGCAGACGCCACTGCAATCGGGAGGCACGCAAGCGTCGCCTGGAGGAGAGCATCGAGGCGCCAACTGGGATGCCAGCCCCATTGCAGCAGAGTGCTCCTGCGCCTATAGTACCACTGCCACTGGCACTGCCACTGCCACTACCACTACCCCTTTCAGTTGCTGGCGACCAGAGTGGAGCAGCGCTGGCGGGGCCGTCGCTCAAGCAGCTGAAGAGCGAGCTGCAACTGCAGGAGCAGCAGCTACTGAGCAATGTGGAGGCGTTCAATCGCCAGCAGCAGCTGCAGCATCTGCAGCAGATGGTCTCGCGCAGCGCCAACATCTTCTCCATGGCCTTTGAGTTCCAGATGTGCATGCTGATGCCGGCATCGGCCATCCTATCGAGCGGTCAACCCGTCGAGGAGCTGGACCGTGAGCCGGAGAACAGCAGCTCGGACTCGGAGGCGTCGCCGCAGGCCGATGAGTGTGTGACACCCGAGGCGCTCGATCTGTCGGCCGGCAGCTCCTCGGTCACCCAGTATCAGTGCCAGAAATGCTCGTATAGCACACCGGTCCGGGCACGCTTCAAGAAGCACGTCAAGTATCACACGATGCCGCTGATCAAGTGCGGCTCGTGTGACTTCCATTCGCCCTACAAATGGAACCTGGACAGGCACACCAAGAACCATGGCGCCAATGGCTACTTCAAGTGCGCCGTTTGCGACTTCAGCACCAACATCAAGCAATCGCTGACCATACATGAGCTCAACCACCATGTGGCTCGACGTTCGGCCTCGCAGCAGCAACAGCAGCAACAGCAGCAGCAGCAGCAGCAGCAGCAGCATCAGCAGCAGCAGCAGCAAGTGCAGCAAGTGCAACATCAGGCAGCAAGAGCAGCTGCACTGGATTCGTCAACTGATCAGGCAGAATCGATGGACCCTGAGGTCTGTCCTAGTCCCATCGTGGAGGCAATTGGGTCTAGTTCTGGCTCGCCGCTGTCCGAGTTGCCGCCCATCAGCTGCTCACACTGCCAGCAGCGCGTGCCCAACGCCATGGAGCTGATCAGCCATCTGCAGCAGTGCGAGCCGGCGCTGCGAAACACCACGCAGCTGGCCTGCGACATGGATCTGACCGGGGAGGAGGACTTTCGCGGGGCTAGCACCGATCTGAGCTATTGTGGTGTCGAGACGGCGCCCGGCTATGGCGAGGTAGGTACTCAGGAGCAGCTTAGAAACGATTCAGCAGTAACTTCTGCCCTTTGCCAGGTCACGGAGCAACTGCAGCCGGAGGATTCGGATGCCCTCAAGAAGGTCTTCAAGTGTCCGCATTGCACATTTTGGGCAGCGACCGCCTCACGCTTCCACGTCCACATCGTGGGCCATCTGAACCGCAAGCCGTTCGAGTGTTCGCTGTGCTCGTACCGCTCCAACTGGCGCTGGGACATCACCAAGCACATTCGGTTGAAGGCCATGCGCGACAAGTCGCACACTCAGGCGCAGGTGCTGATGAACGATGAGACGGGCAGACGCAACTATGCCAAGTACAATCAATATCTGACCCTCATGAAGGTCAGCGCCGAGCAGGCGGCCGATGCCAAGACCATGCGCTGCGGCGAGATGCAGCCCAGCAATCTGGAGCAGCAGCACCAGCAACAGCTGCTCGCCGCTCTGGAGGATAATTTAGAGATTCAGGATGCACACTCAGACTCTTTGGCTGCTCTCGACTTGCGTGTATCCAGCAAATCCCATGCGGAGCCCCCAGCTCAGGCCAATGAACGCTCCATGGAACGCAGCCATTCGACACAGAAGCAAAAGCACAGCAAGACAAGCAGCAAATCCAATAAGCATTCACATAAAGGATAACTCATCATGAGCAATACTATTACACTAATTACACTAATCATATGCTTTTACTATTTATACAAACTGGCATTGCAATTATTTATACAAGAATTATTTGTTATCCGTTATATATATATATACGTAATATATAGCTTTTTATTGCACTTTTTCATATTTGAATAAAAGATTGCTTAAATTATAATCCTTGAAGGTCTTGCAGAAGAGCCATAAGGAATCGAATTTTACTGAAGGGCTTGATTATGCTGAGAGTATTGCATGAGATCATTACAAGTAAAGCTTACAATATTTATCAACAGATTCGATTTGATAAACATTTTTCTCGAATTTGTCTGCGTTTACATTCAATTTTAAAGCTATATTATTAGTTCTTCATATTCAGCTTATAGCACTTTTTCATATTGGAATAAAATATTGCTTAGAATTATATAACTGGGGAACTTCATTCTGGAGTATAAAGCATTGTATGAGATCAATAAGAGAGAGTAGTCTTAGACTGAACTAGAGATTTGTTCGATTTGTTCTACAGTTCGACATTTACATTTAAATTTGATTTGAAAGTCTTTTCTTAATTTATTTCTTCTAAAGGGGGCTATGAGATATAGGTAGTCAAAAGTACATGTTCTTTGAAATTTACATGGCAAATAATTTTGCTTTCGCGTACTTAGTTTTAGTTGCATAATGATTAGGCTTGAGTAAATAGTTTGGGTTCCTAATAACAGCATAATAACAACTACTATCCATACTTTTAGCTAAGCTAAGTCTAAGATTTTTTTTAGATTTAGAGGCTTTCTGACTAATCAAAAATTAGCCAAAATTTTGCATCACGCGCTGATCACAGCAGACATTCCTGTATGAAAAATAATACTATGCATAGTAAAACGATTAGCGGCACCAAAAAGCACAACTCGTCCACGCTAAGCGTGGGCCGCAGGTTCCAAAGATCGATGGCGAGGTAGCGCGCCTGTAACAGCCACGGATACGCCCATGCCCACCACTAAGTTGTCTGGCATTGGACGCCATTGAAATGCGCTTCATCTTCATCATCGGTGTCTGGGAGACGAGGTTGTGGCTTATAGTCTGTCATTTCCACATGCTGCGCTCCGGCCGGCGCTGTAATTTTTACACGCGGCGGCAGCACCGTCTCCAGCGTGGCCAACTGCTCTGGCGAGGCGAATCCATCGGGTGGAAAGTTCACCTTGAACTGTACAAAGAGATCACCATGATCTTCCGGTTTGGTGAACACCGGCATGCCAATCCCTTTCATCATTTTGATATTATTGTGCCGCAGCACTTCGCCCGGCTTCGTGGCCATGCACACTTGCCGTCCATTCAAGTGCTTGAAGCAATACGTATATCCACACAAAGCCTCTGTTAGATTAATCTCTAGATCGCCCATATACAGATTTGCATGGCGACGCCTGAAGAAGGGATGCTCAGCCTGCACGATAACCACAAAGAGGTCCCCATACTCTCCGTTACGCAACTGATGTCCCTCATGGGCAAAGGGCAGCTTCAACATATGTGGCACGCCGCGTTCAACCACGATATCACGATGCATTTGCTGTTCCACAAAGCCGGATCCAGTGCACTGCTTGCAGCGCATCGATTCCTTGATGGTAAAGCCACGACCATCACATGAGGAGCAAGGCTAGCAAATAGTGGACAATTAATTGATGCATTTCAGAGCTTACTTCCCACTTACCACATCGAAACTGGCCATACCCATAAATGTGAAAGCAGGTCTATGGCCCACACCTTCGCAAGTCGCGCAGGTTTCTCGGCCCTGCGGTGGGCCGCCTTCGCCATTGCACTTGTCACATAGCTTCTGTCGCTTATATTGCAACGTTTTTTTACTGCCACCCGTGTAAATCTCCTCCAGCGTCAACTCCAATTTGATCAAAACTTTACCATCGTTTATGCCGCCAAACCATTGTGTGAAAAACTCCGATGTACCCATGCCATTTTCGGCGCCTTCCTGCAGACCCCTGATTCCATAGCGATCGTAAATGCGACGTTTCGCCGGATCGGAAAGTACTTCATAGGCGAATGATATTTCCTTAAATTTATCAGCCGTATTGGGATTCTTGTCCGGATGGAATTCTTTGGCCAATTTGCGATAATTCTATGTTGGGCACGGGGATTGATTAGGTATCAGTAAATTGAATACGAGAAAAACAACCAAGAACCTTTTTAATATCATCTGCGGTCGCATTCTTCGCCACGCCAAGAATATGGTACAAATTCAGGTTGTCCATTGCGATTGCGCGCTAGCCCCTCTATTCAAAAACAATGTCCGTACATGGTAATCAATAGAAAATTTTGATAATTTATAACAATTGTGACACACTGATTTGCATTTCAAATTGTTACGATGTTCATTATGTTGTTGTTTTCATTTGATTTTTGAATTCGCTCTATTCTAAACAGCTGTGTTAACAGCTGCACAATTGGCATGCTATACGGTTCAGCTTACCGAAGTCTTTTGGAATATCAGCCTCTGTACGTTTTTGTTTTATCAATTTCGAATGATGCCCTTTAATTATTCATTTTCTAAAGGTTTTTAGGACAATTGTTCAATGAATGCAATAAATGCATTGTTAAAGGGTAACTGTAGGGATACCGAAGTAGATTTAGTGTTGTAAAGAGCACGATTGTACTACGATTTATATAAACTGGTCACCCTAAAAATGGAAAAAGTACTGCAATCATTTTAAAAATATATCTGTTCTAATAGAAACCACAAAAACATCATTCATTTTATGAATCAATAGGTATTACGTTTTCTTTCTGAGCTATTGTTCATATTTTTTGTGCGAATACCAATTATTTGCAGTGTGACCGTATGCTGTCTGCTAAAAAGCACAAACATGAGTCATCAATGCGCGTCTCCGTAGATAACACGATGGGCGTGGTGAAATTTAATTATTCATTCCAACGCTTGCTTTGGGCACACTAGGTGACTTGTACGTCACATCATCGGAAAATTTTCCAGAAATTACGTACAAATTTTACGAAAAAAATTTCATAAAAATCACTTTTAAATTATTAAAATTTTTTCTTTTAAGTTAAAAATCGGAAATAGAAGTGATTGAACTAAAAAAGTGGGATTTTTCGCCGTAAAACAGCGTTTTTACGCAAGCAAAATGGTTGCAAAGTAGAGACGTAAAAATTTTGTGTGTGTACCAACGAAAGAGAGGAGAAAACGGAACGCGAGAAAGTAAAAAGAAGAAATCGTAACTACTCGCTGGTGGTGTGCGTGAGTGCTTGGTAAGAAGCAGATAAAGCATAACACACGAAAACTGTGTTGCGCCTGGGAAAAATGATGGAAAATTTTGAGGACATGGATGTTCGACTAGGACATATTAATTTTAAAGAGATTGGGGATGTACACGAAGTCCAAGTACATGCCGAGCGCAACGAGCTACAAAGTTTTGAGCACACGCAGGCAAATTTCGATTTTGGCGCTGAAATTGTGACAACAAATGCTAAGCCAGCAACAGCAGCAACAACATTAGTAGCGACAGCAACAGCAACGACGCCAGCAACAAGCGAAACGCAACCAAAAGAAAATAGTGAAATCAAAACAAAAACATTGCCTCAAATGGGAGAACATCAAATTGGCGCCAATCGAAATGCCGAAAATCTAACCAATGCGGAGCAAAACAGCCAGCAACAAACAAACAATTTGGAAAGATCCTTCTCCGAGGCAGATGATGATGATGAAGCAGATGAGGATGAAAATGAAGATTACAAATCAAGGTATAAATAGCGCATCTGAATGGTGCTCATATAAATTAACATCATTAACCAATTACAAATTTATAAATAACAAACTAATCCTTTCTAAATTTAACTTTTTTCAACTTAGGTCTTTAACTTTTTTTTTTTTTTTTTTTTTTTTTTTTTGTACAAACAAATTTAAAATAAAATTTAAATTATTTTAATTACATTAAAAATATCTTTTATTTTTTTATATGAATTGGCAAAAAATTTCGTAAACGAAAACAAAAAAAACAAATTTCTATAAAATATTCATCTATAACTTCTTTAGCTGGGCCAACAGCGATGACGATGATGATGATGACACCTCCAGCTCGGATTGCTCATCAGTGAGCCGCAGCGACTGGAAAATGCGTTGGCTACAGCGCGAATTTTACACTGGTCGCGTACCCCGCCAGGTGATTGCCAGCATAATGCCACACTTCGCCACTGGATTGGCAGCAGACACAGAGGACTCGGTGTTGTGGGACTATCTGGCACATCTGTTGAATGAACCGAAGCGCCGCACTAAGCTGAGCAACGTTAACACCTTTGACGATGTCATTGATTTGGTTCACAAGTCGGAGCGGATTATTGTGCTCACTGGAGCCGGTGTTTCTGTTTCATGCGGCATACCAGATTTTCGCTCTACAAATGGTATCTATGCACGACTGGCGCATGATTTTCCCGACTTACCTGATCCCCAGGCCATGTTCGATATTAACTACTTCAAGCGCGATCCGCGACCCTTCTATAAATTTGCTCGCGAGATTTATCCCGGCGAGTTCAAGCCCTCTCCGTGTCATCGTTTCATCAAGATGCTGGAGACGAAGGGCAAGCTGTTGCGCAATTATACCCAGAATATAGACACATTGGAGCGTGTTGCGGGCATTCAGCGGGTGATTGAATGCCATGGCTCATTTTCGACAGCCTCGTGCACCAAATGCAAATACAAGTGCAATGCGGATGCACTACGTGCCGATATATTTGCCCAGCGCATACCCGTGTGCCCGCAATGCCAGCCGAATGTGGAGCACAGCGTTGATGCTTCCGTAGCTGTAACAGAGGAGCAGCTGAAGCAGCTGGTAGAGAATGGCATCATGAAGCCGGATATAGTCTTCTTTGGCGAAGGTACGTAGTAGATAGTAGATTGTCTTCCAAGTTCCAACCAGCTCAAAAACTAATTTTTGAATAAGGATATGGCGAATCGCCGCCAACTTCACTTTGTAAGGCGAAAAAAGTGCAGGCAACACTATAGTTTGAAATATTCAAATTATTCAACACTATTTCAAACCTTTTAAAGTGCTGAAAGATTATCGTTTTTTTTTTCCTTTATTTTTTAAATTTATAATCGATTATATAGTTATTATATAAACAATTGTTATTCTATTGTATCATAATTATAGGATTACCGGATGAGTACCACACGGTTATGGCCACAGATAAAGACAAGTGCGATTTGCTGATTGTGATCGGCTCGTCGCTCAAGGTACGCCCCGTCGCACACATTCCCAGCAGCATACCAGCTTCGGTGCCGCAAATTCTGATCAATCGCGAGCAGCTGCATCATCTGAAGTTCGATGTGGAACTTCTGGGCGATTCGGATGTTATAATTAATCAGATCTGTCAACGTCTGTCGGGTGCTGGGTCCAGCGATGACGACCATGATTGGAAGCAACTTTGCTGTGACGATCAAGTTTTGCGTGAATCGAGAGAGCTATTGCCACCGACAGAGCATCATTATCATCATCATCATTATCACCATCATCGACTTCGGAGCTCAGAGAGTGAGCAACCGTCGCAACTGGACACGGATACGCAGTCCCTAAAATCAAATGGCTCGGTTGACTATCTGCTCGGGTCATCGGCAGGCACATGCTCCGATAGCGGCTTCGAGTCTTCCACATTTACAGCGGAGCACAGCAAGCGAGATCAGCTGCAGCATCTGATGCTGCAGCAACCGCAACCAGTTGCCAGCAGCAGCCACAGCAATGCAGCCGATGCAGACCGAGAAGCCATTGAACGCATCAAGAGTGACATACTCGTCGAATTGAACGAGACGGCATTAAGTTGTGATCGTTTGGCAGCTCCAGTGGCAAATGGTGCCACCACCGCCGGCTACCGTCATCTGTCCGTTGACTCGTCAAAGGATAGTGGCATTGAGCAATGCGAGGCATCCAATCCCAGCAATATCGAAGTGTCCGCCGGCTATGCCAGCAATTTGGACCCAAACCTTTCTGCGAATATGGTTGTGGAAACTAAGACAGCGGCGCCCAGCCTAACACCGACTCCGCCGCAGCCGAGGCGACAGACCGTAGCCGAACGCCTACAGCCCGGCACCTTCTATTGCCACAGCAATAGCTGCTCGTATGTCTTTCCCGGCGCTCAAGTCTTCTGGAATAGTGACTTTAGCGAGGACGATGAGGATGAGGAGGATGGGGCAAGTGTGCACGAAGCTGATCTCTTTAGCAACGTTGTGGCCAGCGATGAGGAAGCATGCGATCTAAATGCGGTTCCCCTATCACCGCTTCTACCGCCGGCACTGGAGGCACACATTGTCACCGAAATCACCAATGGCAACGCTCTCGACGTCGACGTACTACCCGCTGCTGCCACCAGCACCTCGAGCAGCAGCAGTCCCAGCAATAAGCGGCGAAGTGCAACAGCCATGGAGCAATTGCAGTCGCCAACGTCTGCGGCCAGTCCAGCGATTGAATCTGAAACGCCGCCGCCTATTAAGAAGCGACGACCCAGTGTAGTTACAGCTACAGCAACAGCTGCAGCCACATTAACAACTGTGTAAATGTTTATATACATATATACATATATATATATATAGTTGCCGGCTAAGTTAAGTTTATTATTTATTATAATTTTCACTGCGACTTTTGCAAGTCAATTCAATTTCGACTCAAAAGCCTGAACACTATTCAATGTCTAGAGAAGCTCAACACAAAACAGTAATTGAGGCTTTTGTAAAATGTCTATTTGTCTTCTTCGAACGTAACCAGACGAGAGATCCCGGTTTCATAGCTGGTTTACGTATCCATTTTTGATATTTTTTTTGGAAACTTAGTTTACATATTTATTCATTACGCAGATATATATCGATCTATATATATGTACATGTAAAATCTTAGTATTTTTATCATGTTAAGTTGTTGCTGAGGCCTTTTAGTTAATCCACTGAAAGCTGGAGGATAAAATGCACGCAAATTTTCTAATTTGCAATTTGTTAGCGCATGTTGCCTCGATTATATTCAAAATAGGCTAAGTTCAGAAGTAAGATGAAAAACAACGTTTTTTCTAGCATTTAAGAACCGGACAAAAAAAATCTGTATATAGGTAACTTTGTAAATGTAATTTTTCTATTTCATATGATTAAAAATAATCTGTTTCCTTATTTTTAACTCTCGGTTATGGCAGTTTTATATATATATAAATGTATTGCATTCATATTTACACTTCACACACATAAACACATATTAGCTTGCAGTTTAGTGCGAGTTTGAATGAATGTTTAATCAAAAATTTAGCATAATTTTCAGATATATACATATGCATATATATATATATATATATATATATATATATATATATATATATGTTATAGCCACCAAACGTATGTGTAAATGATTCATTAAGCACTAGTTGTAATATACCAATATATAATGTATTAATATCCAAAAACAAAAAACGTAATAAACCAATTTATTCAGAGTTGTTGAGCAGCTACAAGAGCATCCTATTCATTCAATTGAATATCGGACAATGGGTATATCTTAATACTAAGTGGGAGATTCAACAGTTCTATAAGTGCAGCTGGATAAGCCTTTCATAATCATTAGTTTAAAGGAGTAGGATTCTAGATAAGCATGAAAAAACATCTCTTCACCCACACATACAGATCTATAACTGCATCTGAAGATACCATTCCTGTTCATTAACTTTAAAGAGCAGATAGATCTGTAAGTTTAAATGACTATACTGAACTGTGCAATAGATCTAAAAAGTTAACTGCATCATCAACCATTGAGCCATCAAGATGATGATTCAATTAAACATTCAAATCAAAATCGGAATTCTGGTACTCACATCAATTAAATTTTATGTATCGTTAAATGTTTCCATTGCCCAGCTTGTTAAACGAAAGAATTTAATATATGTAAACAGTATATTATATTATAGAAGTTTGATTCAACACAGAATTCAACGAAATGGGCTTTGATATTAATCCATTTCAATTTCATTTCATTATGAAATGTGTCTAATAAGTGTATCGTATATCCAATACGCACATATTCGCTTGCCCTAGATATGGGCATTGCATTAAATAGTCACTCCCAATGCAATAATAACACGTAAATCGTTTACACTTTGCAATTTTGAATTCGTTTTTTATTAATTACGATTTGTTTTTTAGACATTAGCTGATATCTTAAGCATATCTAGATACATAGTATTCTAATTTAAGGTTACCTTTTGCAGAAGTGCTCAATTAATTCATTTCATGCAATATGCTGGCTACCACAACGCAAAAAAAATATATTTATTATTAATTGGTTTTTCTGTTTTCTTGGGACTTTTTGCTTACGGACTATGAGCCATTAGCTCTGATGTTAACTGGATGCATGTGCTTACGAGATGCTGCCTGATATTTGATATTTGTCTCTTGCTTTACTTTGATACTATGTGTAGGGTTGGGTATATAGCTGCGTGATGTCGGGTTCGTGGGGTTGCAAGGCTAGAACGAAACTCAAGTTCTATTTACATCCTAGTAAACCTAACCGGTATTTGTAAACAATTTAGTATATACCCATATTCAGATTTATATATAATGTGTATGTGTATGTGTGTGTATGTACATATGTTTTATATGTGTTGTACATTAGCTTTCGATTTTCGATTATAAAAATATGCGTTTATGATAAAAATGAATTTCCCCAATTCACTTTGCTATAGAAACTCTGACTGATAATAACATGAGCGTACATTAGAGACAACTACGGGGATGCGTATGTCTTTATATTTATACATATGTGTATGTATGTTTATATCTATATCTAGAGTAGATATAAAATAACGCGCTCTGAGACTTGAGTTAGTTGTATAAACTGTATGTGGATATATAAATCCGTTATAGGCAACGTATGTGTTCGATTTCTAACAAAATACTTCAATTATATATATATATATATATATATATATATATATATATATATATATATATATATATATGTATATATAGGATATACAATATAATATTATATATGTCTATATGTAATATACACGTGTAGATGCGTGCGTTTCATCGTTTCATAAAAATGAAATACAACTACGCTTGGCTTTGTTAAACACTGTTTGGGTTTCGTTTCCGGCATTGAGATAATGTCCTGGCTGATGCCGCACTATAAGAACTGTGACTTGTTCGTCTTGTGCGATCTGGACTTGCTGGGGTTGAGTTTGCACTTTAGTTGCGCAATGAGGTCAGAGATTTTGAGCGCAGGTCCCACTTTCATGCCCAGCAACGGCATTATGTCATCCTTAGTCAGCTGTAGCAATCGCTTGCCATCGATCTTGTTGCGGCTAAACGTGTCGCAGTGTGCGGTGCAGTCGTTCACACGTAGAAACTGTGACACATCATACACGTTCCAGGTGTCCGGCATCAGCTCCAGATGCGCCTCATTCGAATCGACATCGGCCAAACGAGGAATGTACTTGCTGTTCGTAACCGCAGAGTTCTGTTTGACGGCAAAGGATATCAAGAATATTAATTTCATATTGCTTAGAGGGAAGTTAGGTTGGAGGCGTGGCTGGGCTTCGAGCTGGGTGAATTGTTGATGAAGCTATGCAAGTACCAAAATAACAGTGCGTAACATAAGTTATATACAAATTGCATTCAAGTTTTGCTGGATTTTTGATGATTGTTAACATAAATATATATATATACAACTATATATATACATGTATACTTAGGTGAGCTAGCGGGCGGGCGGGCTTTGGTTGTTTAATTGGTTCTAAAAGCTATACGCACTATTATCCTACAGTACTCACCGCAATGTAACTAGTGGCTTTGCGACCCATAATTGGTGGCGCAGGAGATTTAGTAGTAGAAGATTTCTTTACCATTGTTTTGCTGGCATTGCCATTGCCGCCGCTGGCCGTCGGCGTTACCGTGCTGGCTGGAGCTCCGCCAAGTGAAGCAAACTGATCGGAGCTCGTTGTGGTAGACTGTTCAGACATGTGGCTGGTGCTGCAATCGCCATCGGCATCGTCCTCAGCCACCCCATCCTCATCCTCATCCTCCTCGACCTGATTATTCTCATAGAAGGCAGCATTGTGATGCTCCGGCTTCAGTTCCAGCTTAATGCTCAACTTCGGCAAGTGCGGCGTAGTCTTCAAGGCGATCGTGCGCGGCTTGACTGCTGCAAAGATTATATTGAGAGTTAATAGTAATAAGTAAGCTTACATGTGGCTTAAGCGTGAACCCACCTGTCTGCGTGTTATTGTCATGTTGCGCTTGTTTGTTGGAAGCAGCGCCAGTTGGGCCATTGGCTCCCTTTTTAGTCTTACGCTTTCTTTGCACTTTGGGTTTGGGGGCTGGCTTCGGCACTTGCTGGTGGGAGACTCGCGGCGGTCCCTCCAGTTTGTGGCCAACGAGCACACACCAGCCCACAGGATATATATCCGCCGACTCGCAGTCCAACCACTGATCATACTCGTCCGTCCAGCCATCAAAGTGAACCTTGAGGAGCCGACCCACAACACGCGCCACTGTGGCCACACACACCAGACGCGGATCCATCAGATCCGCACATTCCAGACTCATGCCCGCTTCAAAGCCATGATCGGGCACAATGCGATGGAACAGATGCTGGCCGGCCGCAACGGCGCCAGTGTCGCGCAGGTAACCCTCCCAGGTGAAGGTACGCGAATCGTAGCCATTCGGCGGCGTCACAGCTATGTTATTTGAGTCACAAAAGCCAGCCGGGAAAATGCAAGGCGACTTCTCATGGTAGCAAAACCTGCAAATGCACATAAAATGGTTTGTTTTATTTAACTCTGAGCTTCCACTCGAAAATTGGCTCACCAATCAGACCCTGAGGCGTCCGGTTGATATGAATCGATGCGTATCATCATATATCCGAATTTGAGTACAGCCATCACAGTGGCGGGACAAATCGATGATAGATTGAGCGGATCGACAGCCTCCAGCTTCATGCCTTCGATAAAGCCATTGGTTTTTCCATCCAGAAAGTATTCGTCAAATGTGAAATTCATTTTGAATAGCTCAATGGTTGCATCATCCTCGTGCACTTCAATCATGGCCTCACGACCCGCTGAAAAATCTCATATGTCAAGTATGATACCACATTGAACTGTTAATGTGTTTACCCAGCATGCGTTCCAAATAGTCCTGCGGCGCGGCCAAATTGTGGCCAACTGTTGTGGCCCAACCAACTGGATGGATAATGGGCGAATCTTCGTGGCACCAGAAGCCATCGTCCGAGTCGAAGTAGCGCAAGAACAGACGTTTTCCCACAATCTTGGTCACCGTGGCCAAGCGCACCTGTGATATGCGATCCTTGTCTACGCACTCCAGATTCAGGCCGAGTCGGAAACGCGACTGCAAACTGTCGTTGACCTTGTTATAGAAATTGGAGGGCAATGTGCGTGCGCCGGACAAACGCTCCACGAGAAAGTCCTTCCAATCCTTGTACTTGTGCTCGATGGTGCGTGGCGGTATTAAGGGCTTGCCACGCGTCGCACACCATCCCACCGAATGGACTTCGGCATTGCAGAGATTCACCCAAAAGTCGTGCGAGTTGACGTCGAAGCCCTCGTAACTCATTAACGCTTTGTAGCCTTTAATCTCCAGTATGGTGGCCACCCAAAACGAGGTGGGCGTCTGTCCCGGCTGAATGACCTCAATGTTATCGCAATCGGTATTCTCCACCTCCACCTTCATGCCCACGCCCAGATTATCCCACACCTCGTAGCCGGGCGCGTGTGGAAAGCAGGTAACGGGCGCCGCATAGAAGTTCGGTTTGCCCAGCCGCGGCAGCCAGTCGTACGAGTGCATCGGATCGTACATGCGCCGTCGTATGCTGATGATCTTCTCCATTTGTGGGCATGGCGCCGGAAGACGTTCGTACTTGGGTATTTGAGGAAGATCTTCCTGCGGAAAGGCATCTCGAAACAGACGCAGTGCTTTGGGCGTTGGCGCAGCATTCACAAAAGAATTGCTGGCGGCGGCGTTCAGCTCGCTGCCGCTGGCTTCGGCCGGCGGCGCAGCAGCATCGCCAACGGCAGCTCCATTCAGTGCTGCAATTGTCTCCTCCGTGGCCATTTGCACATTATTGGCAGCTGCATCCCCGCCCAGCGACATGGGCTCCCCGAATCCGTTCAGCTGCGTTATCTTCGACTGATCCGTGATACGAAAACGATAGTTGGCATTTTTGATATGTGCCGCTTGCAGCGTTAGCTCAATGTCCGACTGCTGCTGCTGCTGTTGCTGATGATGTTGATCCTGCGCATCCGACGGCGATGCTAGATTTGTTTCCGCTGAGCCCGTTGACTCAGGCATCTCCAGTGCAGCAGCTGGCGAGCTGCTGGCATCCATCTTGCTATTGAGCACCAGCGAATAGAGCTCTCCGCGAGCACAGGCCATGCTGCAGAAACGTCGCGACTTTGTGTAGAACGTGTGCTTCACACCAATGGCACCGCAACGTTCA